CCTTCGGTCCTTCCTGTGCTTTCTAGCTCACGCTCTGTAGCTGCTTTCAGAGAATACAACCCACACCGATCCTTTTTAGAAAAGCAGGGTTTATTGGTCAGGCTGCTCACCAGGACACAGCGACGTGAGAGGCTCCCCAGAGCCTGCAGGAAACTACAACTGCTCACAACTCAGTCCCCTTCAGCCCCTCAGCACCAAGGGACCTTGTCCCGCAAGCCCATCCTCCCTCAACTGATGTGTCTCCAACCATTCAGAGGGAAGAAGGGAGCTGAAAATAGGAAAAGGGAAAAAAAAAAAAAAGGCAAAGCTTTGTACTGTATAAAAGGTTTGTGTCCCTAGGCTCCCTCCCCCCACCCCTTAAAACAATGAGCTAAAACAGAGCAAGGAAGATATGGAAGAGTGAGGGTCGATGGGGAGCGGGGAGAAACTTGAGGGGAAGGGCTGTCCTTGCTTCTGGCCAGTCCCCTTTAATGGGGAAGAACGCGGGCTGAAGCATCTTGAAGGGGACCCAAGCGTCTTGAAGAGAACCTGTGAGTGGACTGCAGAAATCAGCAGTCCCTCCCCCCCAAAGATTCAGGAAAGCCACTGCCCCAAGAACAAGGAAACAAGCCAGGAAGGTCTTGGCAAGCTCTGCAGCTTTATGATGCTAGCTCTAGAGAAGGATCTAGAAAAGAAACTGCACGGAGTGCGGAGTGTGCCAGGGCTCTCCCCACCCTCGCCAGCTCTCCGCGTGGTGGCCTGCCCTAAGCACCGCCCCCAACGCCACCTCCCGGCAGCCTGCTGCTGCCCTCTTCTGGGCTGCCCTCTTCTGGGACCGTCGTTTTCTGTGCTCTGAGAAATGGGCTGCTCCTGGGGGCGCCATCCAGACCGCAGCTGAGGGATCTTGTGAGGCCTCTCTCTCTCTATCCTCTCTCTCTCTCCTGTTTAGATCATAGCTTTCTCACACTGTCCTCCCTCCTGACCTTGAAAATAGTCCTGCTGTCCTCTGAGAACCCCAGCAAGATGGGGTTCTTGTCCTGGGTTCTTCACGCTGCTAATAAAGGGGACTCATCTCTTCACTCATTTCTACTTTCTCCCGTTTCCCATTCTCCTTCCCAAAGCCATAGGCAGTGCTCCTGTGTGCAGATGCGGAACCGTGCACATGTGTCCTTCCCCGGCCCCACCCCAGCTCCGCCGGGCTCCAGCCTATATTGATGGGACCCTGTGCAGACACAGCCTAGCTGAAGCCTCATCCAGGGTCAGGGCTCACTCCACCCTCCCTCCCCCATTGCCCCAGGCTTCCCCCAACGCTGCTTTCATGTTCTTCTAGTAGGGGGCAAGGGTCCCCTTCAGAATTCACTCTTCTTTGGGTAATGTTGGCTTTGAGACCTCCAGGGATCAGGGCGAGAGGTAGTAAGAAGAGCAGCAGCGAGCAGGAATCATGGCAGCAGGGTGAGTGCATGGGTAGGGCTGAAAGGAGGGCTGCCCCCAAGGGAGATCCAACTGTGGAATCAGCCATTTTCTCTAGATCCCTGACTTGGACGACCAGTTTCCACCTGGACTGTGTCCAATCGGGGCTGTCCTTTGGGGGGGCTACCTTGCTCTCCGCTCTCCGGTCTCGACAGCTGGAGGACTTGGAGGGGTGCTTTTCAACTAGAGGAGAAGGGTTTTCGATTTAGAAAAAGACCTCAACCCGTTCCAAGGCAGGCTGAGGGAGAAAGCGACAGAGAAAGTTCAGGAAGGGAGAGGAGTGGAGCGGGGGCGGGGAGAGGCGGAGCGAGGCGCCCCCAGCGGAGCCCGCACCCCTGCTCAGTCGCTGTCACTCTTGTCCACCAGCACGGCGTCCGACTCCTCGGTGATCTCCAGCAGCGTGTGCACGTCGGGGCTGCTCCCGCGCAGCAGGTCAGCGGCCTCGCCGCGCTCCGCGCCGCCCTCGTCGTCGTCGTCGGCGCCCACCTCCACCATCTCGGTGGCCCGCACCACCTCCACCTCGCCCTCGCGGATCTTCTTGACGTGGAAGGTGAAGGGCGGCACCTTGTACACCGCGGTCTTGGAGCGCGCGTAGACCACGTGGTCGGGCGTAAAGGACTTGCGCAGCTTCTCGCGAGATGTCTTGAGCTTCTCGCGCCGCTCGGCGGGCACCAGGCGTGTGCCCAGCTTATTCATGCGCTTCTCCAGGGTGTGCCGCGTCTTCTCCAGGTTCTCCTTGGTCTTGAGGCGCGTCTTCTCCAGGTTCTCGCGGGTGCGCACCTTGGTCTTCTCCATCTTCTCCTTGGAGAAGGCCTTCTTGAAGTCGTCCACGCGCCGCAGGCCACTGCGCTTGATGCGCTCCGCGCGCGACTCCTCGATGACCTCCTCCACCTCCACCGCCTCGTCCGACGACAGCTCGAGGGCCGCCGCGTCCTCCTCTGGCCGCTCGCCCTCGCCCAGCTCGTCGCCCTCCTTCTCGGGCAGCGCCTCTGACTCTTTCAGCGACTTGCCAATGCTCAGTTTGGCCGGCAGTTTCACCTCATCCTAAAGGGAAAGGAGAGCGGAGGTGAGACGGGACAGAGGAGCAGGGCCGGGAGGGACGATCCTGGTGAGAGGAAGGGGAACGGCATAGCACCCGTGAAATCAACCCGACCTGTTGGCCGCGTACCCCCAGAGCCTGGCGCAGAGCTGGGCACATCGTGGGCACGCAGTGTGAACTAGTGAGTGGTAACTCTTCAGAGGACGCGAGGAGGGAACCGAGCTTCGGGTCGGAGATCGGGCTGTGTTACAAACGTACTTCTCTGCGGCCCTACAACCCTGTCCGAGCGCCGGGTATCCTGGCCACCCATCTGATTACGCGTCGGCGCGCACAGCTTGACTTTGGAAAGGGACAGAGCGCCCTCTGCTGTCCGAAATCACACACTGCCCCAGCCAGGCCAAAAAGCAAGGGAGTTTGGGAGAGTCTGCTTAGCGTGCTTGGGAATAGGGTACGAGCTCACAGCCAGTTTCAGGTGGCCCTCAAGTAGGATAGCTTGGAGGGAAAGTAAAAGGAGGACATTTTCCAAAGACAAACCATTGCAGAACTAACCTTGGGTAAAAGAGCTATGGCCCATGCCGCCCCCTTCCTTGACCTCCTCGTACTGGTGGGCTCCACCAGTGGTCACTCTCCCCTCCTCCCCACAATGTAGCAGGTGATAGGGGAGAGAGGAAGATGTTGACTGGAAACCAAGAGCATGTTTTCTCCCCAGTACGAACATTTCTGACTTCCCCACCTTGGACTAGAACAGAGGGATTATCTTTCTATTACTTTTCCCCCAGGCCTGAGTTCCAAAGAACTCAGGTAGCTTAGCGGTCCCAGACCCGTGATCCTGGAGCTCAGAGCTAGCTCTTCCTTGTTTCCCTCTTTTTCTGTAAGACCTTGCACCAGCACAGTCTTCCATCCTGGGAAGATTTTCTAAGAGTCTGACTCTAGGCCAGCGTTTCAGAATCTCAGGGTCATCCTCTGAAACCCCCACCACCAGGAGGTGGGGGAGGCTGAGCACAAAAAGGGAGAGGCATAACCCTGAATAGAAACAGGTTCCTTTTTTGGATCCGTAAAAAGCTTAGAAACTTCAAATGAAGGAATGGGAGATAGTGGCTTCTTTGCTTCTTTTTTTCTTTTTAAGAATTATTTTATTGGGGCCGGCAGGTGATGTGGTGGTTAAGGCATTGCACTCCCACGTGGCAGAATGCAGTTCAAGTCCAGTACCTGGTGGCTGGCTTTCTCACGTTCCCTTCCTGTCTGCCTCTCTCTAGTCAAATTTAATAATAATAATAAATTCCCTTCCTGTCTGTCTCTCTCTAGTCAAATTTAATAAAAATAATAATAAATACTTAAAGCAAGCCGCCAGGTCCAGAACTTGGATGATGATTGGCCATGTGGGAGTCCAGCACCTTAACTGCCACATCACTTGCAGACCATTCCCTCCCCCACTGCATGCCATTCTGTCTCTTTCTCTCTTTTTTCTTTATTTCTTTCTCCAGAGGGCATATGGACTAGCCAAAGAGAAAGATAGAGAGATAGAGGAGAGAGCAAGCACCCTTCCATAGGACATGGTCACACCATAATCCCTTCTCCATTTCCCCATCCTGTTGGAATTTGGGGCATACATGCACCTATACATGGTGTGTTTTTCAAGCTCCTAGGACCAGAATTCAAACTGTGTGGTTGGCCATGTGGGATCTGGCTCCCGTAATCACCAAACCACAGGGCCAGCTCTAAGAGACTAGTTTTTCTAAAGGGTTTTCTTTTCTTTTCTTTTCTTTTTTTGGAGAGGTTTTTGCTATAGGGCGCGTGCACTCGCCAGGAAGACAGAGAGAGACAGAGAGACAGAAAGCGAGAAATCAACCCCCGGGGGGATGGCCACAACGCAATCCCTTCTCCTTCATTCTCCTCTTGGGATCTTGGGCACGTGTGCACACATGCCCGGCATGAGTTTAAACCACCAGATCTGGGATTCAAACCACGGTCGGCTACATGGGAGTTCAGTGACATAGCCATTACAATAACTGCTGGTCCCTCCAAAGGGTTTTCTAAAGATCATCGCTGTAATTTTAAGAAAAATCCATCTCTGAGCAAATGAAGCAACATAAAACTGACCCCTCTTGTAGACAAACACATGTATATGCGCTCATGCACGCGTGCGCGCACACACACACACACATACACCCTTATACATTGGCCTTTTGGTATCTCTGCACCACCTGCTCTAGAAATTCCTTCCCCAGCCCCAACGTCTTTCCTTTTCCCTCCCATCCACCTCCCTCTGGAGTTTCCTGGTTTACACTGAAACTAGGAACACCCCCTCCCATTTCCTTCCCTCCCTGTCAACAGCATTAGCAGGACAAAGAGGGAATGCTGGCTTCACTTCTGTTCCTAACTGGGCACCAGCTTTGCTGGGCAGCAAGCCACCTCCAGCTCTCTATTACCCTACTACACCTCCCGGCAGGCAAGGTGACCTGGGCACAGAGCATGCTGGGACTTGTAGTCTCCACCTACCATAGATGGCTAATTGCTCTCATGGGCATTCTAGGGCATTCTGTCCATTTCTTGGCCTCTTATACACCGAGGCGTTGTTCTGAGTGTAGGAAGGTCCCAACCTCTCTTAGCATTCTCTCTGATTTTCATTTGTACCCTTGGGGTGCCCTTCTGCAGTCTCTTCCCTACTGGGGTGCATATCATTAGGAATTACACATCATTTTAGGACTCTCTAGGATCTAAACTTTCTACTACCTCTTCATACATCTCTACCCAGAATTTACTTGTAGCTCCAGTATTAAAAAAACATTTCAGCTCTGTTCTCTTCTTTATAGTCTCTCAGACTAAAAACCACTCACCCAGCCCGACCAGAGGGTGGAGGACAGCCCCTCCTTTCACTCAACTCAGACAATGTGCAGGGGTTAGGGAGGGATTAAGGGCGACTGGCAGGGAACAGTCAGGAAACAGTCCCAGCTGCTGGAAAACAAATCCTCATTGTCTCCCTACCCCACCCCCAGCATCCCTGATCCTCCCCCTGCTGCACCCCAACCCCTAAAGGCTGAGCTGGCTGGTTCGCCTGACCCCTGGCTTCCGAGATAAAGGTCTTTGCCAGCCAAGCTTGGAAGTGAACAGAGCTGGATGCAGGCTTCTTGTAGCCAGTCTCATCTTCCAGGGCCTAATGAAAGGCCTGAAACTCCAACATCAGGGAGCAATCCCAGTGCGGGGAGTTTTATCTCTGGATTTGGGGGAGTCTCCTCAGAGCAGAAAGCTATCTTGGGGGATATAATTCACTTGGGGCTTCCCCTAGCGTGAGGGCTGACAGCAGAGGAGCTGTCTTCTTGGTGGGAAGTCAGAACAAAGGGAAAGAAACAACTTGTCCTGAATCCCTAGACGAAGGTGAAGCCCAGCAGGCCGGCTCCAGAGAGGGTATACTGCGATTAGCTTTTCCCCTGCATTCTTGGATTTCTCTTTTCTCCTCTTTTCCAAGCCAGGTTTCCTCCATGACTCACAGCCTTGGCGTGCTGCTTGGGCCCACCCAGTCTGCCTGTTGCTACAACAACCACCAACATAATCCAAAAGCACCTCCCCCCACCCTGGGCACATAGGCCAGGCACCCACGTCCCACCCCTTGCTTCCCTGGCAGAGCTCCTAAACCAAAGGATGGGCCTCAGGGGGTGGCAAGGAGGAGGGCTCTGCTTGTTCTGTTTTCCCATTTTTATTAAACAAAACCACCACTCCCAACAGGCTTGGTTTCCAGAGTTACCTTTAATGACCAGGTCTGAGCAAAAGCATACACAACTCTTCCCCTGCCCCCTTCCCCCCAAAGACACATAACTCCCCAACCCAGGAAGGTACCAGACCAGGGAGGATTTAAAGGAGCCCCAGGAAGGTTCCCAGCCTCTTCCACCCCAACCTCAACCTTGGTATATAAACTTAAGCTCTGGTTTAAGACATTTTTTTTCCCAGTCTGCTCTAAAGTGCATGCTCTTTACAGAGAGAGAGGGAAAGTGATAAGTCACCCCCAGGGGGGTGGCCATGCTACAATCCCTTCTCCTCAGTTCTGCTCTTAGGATTTCGGGCATGCACGCACAGGTGCCCGGCATGATTCTCAAGCTGCCAGATTCAGGATTCAAACCGTGCAGTCAGCCATGTGGGATTCAGTGCCTTAACCTCCATGCTACCTGCTAGCCCTGGTTTAGGAAGATTTTGATAGGATTATAATTGAATTGAGCACCTTTCATGCCCTGGCCTTTGACCAGGTCCTTCACATTCGTTAGGGAGAAAGGACCAGTGCCACACCGCTCTGAGCGGGAGCCCCTCTTGACTTGGAGTTAACCAGCTCTGTCCCCAGCCACTGCTGGGAAATGGCCAGAGAGACATTAAAGAGGTCATTCAGAGACTCAGGGTCTGCTTAGAGAGGAGGTTAGAAAAGGGCACAGACTAGGAGAGGTGAAGGTAGAAACTAAAAAACTCAGGGGAGGTGCCAGCTGGTGCCCTCTGAGGCTCACCCACACGGGAAGGTTCTGGGTTTGTGTCTAGAGACCTCCTGAAGGACACTGGGCATGCGTGTGCCCATGACCTGGGGCTGGAGAGACCAGAAAGGGGACATTTCAGCTGGCTCTAGCTGGGGTCCTTGGCCCCCCCATAGCACAGTATTTCTCAAAATTTTTTTTTAAGTTTGTCCATTGTCTCTTCCATGAGTTAGAGAGGCAGAGGGGGCAGCACTCCAGACAAGGTCTTGGTGCCACAATCCACCCCCAGCCGACCCCGGGTCATTGGCACATGTGTGCCCAATGTGCACAGGACAGTCTATGGCTGCCAATCCGGACCCCTCCCATGTGGGCCAGCCCCTCAGAGCATCACGTTTTACCTGTGCACCACCGTCCACCACCGGGCTGGCTAAGGTGCAGGTGGATCACAGTGCTAGGACCCTGTGGGGGGTGCTGTCTGTCTGTCTCTGTTGTTCATGGAAGATATAAAGAAAAAAAATTTTTTTAATTAAAACAAAACCCCCAAAACTTAGGAC